CGTAGTAGTACTACTGCCATGCACTGTGCTCTGCCTAGCAACCCGCCTTGACTATAATATTCATAGCCATCTGAGGGGCCACTGGGCTCTGAATATATGAAAGGATTTAGATCACAGTGGGCATAGAGGTCGATATGTGCTGTTGTTTGAATTTTACCAATGCTTTAAAGTTTGAGTTAGAAAGCGCAAATAAAGGCATTCATGTACTCAAGCTGACAAGGCCCCTGTAGGTAATCATAAAATAAAAGCAACACGGGTAATGTCTTAAAATGGCCATTCTCTCATGACACCACAAGATGGCACTAGCAATACATCTGTAACACTATCCACCTGACAAGCCAAACATGGTTCTCCCCGTCTCTCATGTCTGCATAGCCTATTAGTTTACAATCAATTTCCCCAAAGAACAACCCAACACAACTAAATTAATGGACAAGTAATGCTTAATACCAAAATAAACAGCTTCGAGGTAGCAAAAGTAGTGAATTCAGCTCTGAGATAACAAAAGGAGAGAATTCACAAGTGTGGGCTAGTGGGCTACAGTACCTGTTACTAATCTTTGGGCCAGTCAGGCAAAGCAAAGCCCTTTCAACACTGTTAACCTGGTGGACTGCATTTATTGGTTGCATGGATCCTGCAGCACTGTTTCTCTTTTGTATGTCTGCTCTGCTCACAATGCTAAACAAGCTTACAGGGATTTTTTCCTAGATGCTGAATAATTTGCATAAGGACAATGGGCATGAGGGTTTGCCTTTGAAACTACCGTTTACTATGAGTGAAGTCATAGATACAGATTTTAATGTGTAGCTTGTACTCATTTGGAGTGGGTGTATGTTGAGTAATGATACACCTACTCACAAATTGGAAAATTCACATTTCAAATGAATTTCAATAGCCAAACAATGTTTGCCCACGGTCTCTCTTCTCAAAATTTATCACTCACGAATCAGGTACTAATCAGAATCTATTTCTCTCATAGCAAGATGGAGAACAACTGAGGTTTTATTCTTGGCAAATTTGACAGTTATGGACCAAATTGACATTGATACATTCATTATTAGTTAGGGAAATTGTACCAAATCATCATCTAACAGAACAACCTTCACCTGTCTTGTTTTACCTTCAGAAATCCTAAATTACAAGGGGAGAAGAACAACAGTCAGATCAGTTATGAGGGGAATAATCCAGATTGACTTTCATGGTCTTCTTTACTCATCGGCCAAGACTCCCAAGTAGGCGTGAAACGTTCTCGGTAACACTATCGCTGTAATATCTGCATCACCTTCCACCGTCAGGGTGAGGCGGCCCATTCAAAATGTCTCTCAAGGCTCCCATGGGCAATATACTCTCACAACCGCACAATAGCCAAGCCCTGAATCTCCTGGGAAACCTTGTTGGATTGACAATACATGATACCGCTGGTTATCAAACATACAATATCATAATAATATCAAACATAATACTGGTGCTCAGATAACCTAACCATTTTATACACAGTCAGTCCTTCAGGCCATCCTCTCTCTCTCTCTCTCTCTCTCTCTCTCTGTCTCTCACTCTATCTGACTCACGCTGTCTCTCTCTCAATCTCCCTCTACAGCTCTTCTTCTCCCTCTCTCTCTCTCTCTCTCTTTCTCTCTCTCACTCTGTCTGTCTGACTCGCTCTGTCTCTCTCTCAGTCTCCCTCTACAGCTCTTCCTCTCCCTCTCTCTCCCTCTCTTTCTCTCCCTCTCTCTCCTTTCTCTTCTCTCTCAATTGTTTGGCGTGTCTGCTGCTAGAACATACTGATTGTGTCAGCTTCAATAAACACGGCAGCATTTGACGTGATAAGGGAAAAATATAGGGAGAAACAAAATATATATCAACACAGATTTCATGTACTTTTCAGAACCGCCTTGAGGCATGGCGGAGCTGCCTGTCAGCACATTTGAAGTATGTTTGCAATTATCTGATTTGTTAACCGATTTGAAAATACAATGCGTTTGCAGCTTGAACTCCAAGTTTTTTGCTTCCGCCTGCTAAAAAATTAGCATAATTAAGGTCAGTTTTGCACTTTTTCATATTTCCACTAGTTTCCAATATTTAACCTGTTTAATGGATGTAATCAAAATAAAGAATCACGTTTAAGTGATCAGTGGTTTGATTGTTTTAAATTATTTTAAAACATCTGTCCTTCACCATAGATGAGATCGAGATCCAATCCACTCCACTCTGGATACCTGGCCAGGGTCATGTTCAGCAGGGCACTCCGCAGCAAAACCAAAATGTGTGTTTCTTATTGGAGAAGTCCAGGTAGTCCCTCCCTGTTTGAGTCAGTTTTCTTCCTTTTGGTGCCTAATGAACACAGCCCAGGTGAATTCTACTTTGTGACTCTATGAGCAGGTGTGGGAAGAGGAGACAAGTTTATGGCTGATCTATGCATGGCTAAGGGATGATTGTACCTATGATTCGTCTTTTGAGGTTGATGGGTTTTTGACTTTCTTCTCAACATTGTAAATGTAGAGGTAAATCAAGAGAACCTACACTACTGGTCAAAAGTTATATAACACCGACTCATTGATTTTTTATTTAAAAAAAAACTATTTTCTACATTGTAGAATAATAGTGAAGACATCAAACCTATGAAATAACACATATGGAATCATGTAGTAACCCAAAAAGTGTTAAAAAAATCTAAATATATTTTATATTTGAGATTCTTCAAATAGCCACCCTTTGCTTTGATGACAGCTTTGCACACTCTTGTAATTGTCTCAACCAGCTTCATGAGGTAGTCACCTGAAATGCATTTAATTGAACAGGTGTGCCTTCTTAAAAGTTAATTTGTGGAATTTCTTTCCTTCTTAATGCGTTTGAGCCAATCAGTTGTGTTGTGACAAGGTAGGGGTGGTATACAGAAGATAGCCCTATTTGGTAAAAGACCAAGTCCATATTATGGCAAGAACAGCTCAAATAAGCAAAGAGAAACGACAGTCCATCATTACTTTAAGACATGAAGGTCAGTCAATACGGAAAATGTCAAGAACTTTGAAAGTTTCTTTAAGTGCAGTCGCAAAAACCATCAAGCGCTATGATGACACTGGCTCTCATGAGGACCGCCACAGGAATGGAAGACCCAGAGTTCCCTCTGCTGCAGAGGATAAGTTCATTAGAGTTACCAGCCTCAGAAATTGCAGCCCAAATAAATGCTTTACAGAGTTCAAGTAACAGACACATCTCAACATCAACTGTTCAGAGGAGACTGTGTGAATCAGGCCTTCATGGTCAAATTGCTGCAAAGAAACCACTACTAAAGTACACCAATAATAAGAGGAGACCTGCTTGGGCCAAGAAACATGAGCAATGGACATTAGACCGGTGGAAATTTGTCCTTTGGTCTGGAGTCCAAATTGGAGATTTTTGGTTCCAACCACCGTGTCTTTGTGAGACGCGGTGTGGGTGAACAGAAGATCTCCGCATGTGTATTTCCCACCGTAAAGCATGGAGGAGGAGGTGTTATGGTGTGGGGGTGCTTTACTGGTGACACTCTCTGTGATTTATTTAGAATTCAAGGCACACTTAACCACAGCATTCTGTAGCGATATGCCATCCCATCTGGTTTGGGCTTAGTGGGACTGTCATTTGTTCTTCAACAGGACAATGACCCAACACACCTCCAGGCTGTGTAAGGTCTATTTTATCAAGATTGAGAGTGATGGAGTGCTGCATCAGATGACCTGGCCTCCACAATCCCCCGACCTCAACCAAATTGAGATGGTTTGGGATGAGTCGGACATCAGAGTGAAGGAAAAGCAGCCAACAAGTGCTCAGCATATGTGGGAACTCCTTCAAGACTGTTGGAAAAGCATTCCAGGTGAAGCTGGTTGAGAGAATGCGAAGAGTGTGCAAAGCTGTCATCAAGGCAAAGGGTGGCTATTTGAAGAATCTCAAATATAAAATATATTTTGATTTGTTTAACACTGTTTTGGGTACTACATGATTCCATGTGTTATTTCATAGTTTTGATGTCTTCACTATTTCACTACAATGTAGAAAATAGTCAAAATAAAGAAAAACCCTTGAATGAGTAGGTGTTCTAAAACTTTTGACCGGTAGTGTATGTTTAAAGCAACATTTCTGGGAAGGAGGGTACAGAGAAAGGCATTGGATTTACTTCAAACAAACATGAATCAAAGTGAAACCGGTTCTATTGTTTCTCATCTGTCTTTTTAAGTTTGCATGTTTACCTCTTTTGTTGTTTTGATAAAAGAGTATCTACTAAGGTTTCTTTTTGAGGAAGGATATCAGTAACACTTCTTATGAACTACCTCTATGATACATTATAACAACATCGGTGCTAATAACAGTGCTCATAAACATCTATAAGTACTTTCCTAAAGCATTATGAACAGGGTGTATAATGCTTTATGAAGCAAAGTGAAATATGACATAATCAATCAATCAATTTTGGAGTCAGGACATTCAGTGAGTAATAGATTGACCCTCAAAGGTTAATAGATGTTTGAACTGCAGCACTGGACCATTTAAATGTATGGTATTTGACCTTTATCAACCAATGTTGGAATTTCAGCAAGTTGAAACCTCACTTTTGTATCCATATTAGGAAGTTCCTCAATTGTCAGGTGAAACTCCATTAATCATCAGATAAAACTTCCTAATATGGATGCCGTATCACCATAGTCACTTTTAATTTAAAGTCAGTTCTTTATCTTGATATGAGTGGGTATTAGAATTTAGTTAACAGATACATTTTACTTGTATGTAATTGTTGATCACTTAAGCATGTCAAGCCATGACATTTCTCTTATTGTTGTAGGCCTACCTATGCTGGTAGAATCACTGTTCAGAGCATACTTATACTCGTGAGCTTGAGGAACAGGGAAAATTAGCAAATATTACTGTATGGTAATTGAACTGTGGAACTATTACAATCATTTACAGCCATTGTAGTTAAAACAATGCTGCATAAAATAACAATAATTAGTTAACATCAAATAAAGATAGTCAAGTTTAATTAGAAGAATGAAGCATATACATGTATATAGGCATTGCTTTATTATAATTAGTAGACTCATTCTGATAGTAAAAATCAAGGTTTTTGTATACTTTCTCATCCATACAATAAACACTCTTTCAAGGTAACATGCGAACTGTGGTAAACAATAGTCAAAATAGATAATTCACAAAAAAATGACACGTTATTTTTGTTCAACTGATAAAGTCTAGAAAGGGTTCAATGCTCTTGACAGAGTGAACAGGCTACAGCCTATGTATATACAGGCTACAGCCTATACAGGCTACAATTCTATATCCATATTCCAAAGCAGACCTGGGCTCAAATAGTATTTTTTTGTTTTTTTCAAATACTTAAGCTGTGTTTGATTGAGATTATATGGCGCACCACTGGGATAGTCTGAAAAGTGCAAACCTTGTCCCATCTGGCACTCCAGGAAGGCTCAATCAAATGCTCAAAGTATTTGATAGAAATCGAATACTATTTAAACCCAGGTCTGCTCCACAAGCAAGAGGTCGGTTACATGCCACCCATAATAAAGATAAAGAAGAACATTAAATGAGAAAGAAATCAGCAATGAGAGATTTAAAACATGTTGAAAGCAAAATTGCACTTCAGTGCACAGACACAACAAGGCCACACAACCAGAATTTGATGGCTAGGTAAACGTTCACAATGTAACAGCTCGGGAGATCTAATGGCTTTTAGAGATATCGCCTAGACGCTCCCAAATCTCAATTTAGACTTAAGACAGACTGACAGTCAATTTGCTTATTTTTTTTTTTAGATAGGATGGATAATAATTGTGTACTAGAAATGTGTTGCTATCACAAAGGCTTTGGAATACTGATTGGGGAGTAGCAAGGGTTGCATTCGTTTTACCTCACAAGTGCACCAGTTGGGCTGAGTTTGCACTTGGCCTGATGGAATGGTCTCAAATGTGCAAACTCCACCCACCTGTTGCCCTGGGTGGGCCAAGGCTGGGTTTACACTCCACCAAGCGTTCGCCTTAGCAAAACTGAATCGATGCTTGCGTAGAGTTATTACAAATTCTGGCAAGCACCAAACTCTCTGTGTGGTACATGGTGAAGTCACAAAGTGGTTGCTGAGACTCTACGCCCTAGTGCGGTGTAAACCCAGCCTAAAACGAACGCACCTATCATGTGAGCTGAAACATAGTGAATCCTGTTTCACCATCCAATCAGATCCTCCCGAGCATACGGGCGATCCACCAGTTGCAGGGCATGATGATCTGACAGATGACACGTCCTCCTTGGTAGTAGTACGGGTAGGGGTTAAAACCCCCCAGGGGCTCATAGTAGCGCTGGCAATAGCGGTAACCACGACGACAGTGCTGGCAGCAGTAGCCATGGTCATCCAGGCGGTTATCCAGCTCAACTCCAATGTCTCTCTGTGAAGGACAAGTGGCAAGTCCATGAGAGGAAGGAAATACATTGAGTGCTTCAAAGGGCAGGTGATGCAAATAAAGGAGAGCCAGAGAGCGAGAGATAGACAGCAATCTTGAGAAAATGGAATTGGAAGTATAGGTGGAGTGTGGAATGCACACCCCGCACTGGCAAGGTTTATTCTTCTGCGGTAGCTATTTATTCAAAAATGAAGTGCTAAATGTTTCTCTTTATTTTGGCTTTACAATTTTCTGTTCAGTAAGGTGTGCACTTATACTTTAAATTAAATATTTATCAAGCAAAATCAATCTCCTTTTCTTTTCCCTGTGAAGGACACAAAACTAGGGCCACACACGATGAATACCAGCACTACCAGAGCAGGGACAGTCAGAGACAGAGGATTTGATTGGGTGAATTGATGTTCTCGCTTCGGTCGTGGGTCAGAAAAAAGCTATGAAGCAGCTAAACAGAAAAGAAAGATCAAAATGGATGTCTAAGGAAATGAATGGACAAAATGATTCCACGCTCGACCGTGACACACAGATCAAGATAGCATTGGAAAGCGGGGCCGCCTCGATCCGGGAACATAAAACATGATATAATACCCTTGACCTTTCTGTTATGTCAGTGGTAGCATTACTCTTAGCTTCACCAAGCTCCATCTCACATCCCAGAGTCCTCGGCCCCGTTGTCCCAGCGCTATATTCAATCAAAGTGAATCTGACACTGCCGGTTACCGGGAAATATACAGTATTTCTTTCATCTCTGACCTCCCACTCCCCCTGCCGTGACCCATGCGAGCTGAACCAAAATGGCCACAATCCCTCCATTAGAGCCTATAAATGAAAGGCTCTTTGTCTTGGGCGCCCTCCCCCTGACCTTGACTTTAAGTGGATGACACATTCCTAAAGCAACTAGGCAAGTAATGATCGACTAACAAGGATCCTTTTATTTGCTTGCGTCGAATGGGTGTGAATTTATATAAGGCCTAAATGATACCCAAATGAAAGGTAAATTGGGCAGAATGAATGGCCCTTGGCTTTTTCCATTGTGCCAGTCCTCCGGGCGCATGCCCTCTCCAGACGGTGTTAGGGCTGAGTGCCATGCCTTTGATCGAGGGCAATTCTGAATTGGGCTCAGAGAAGTGCCACTTAAAGCGCTCTCAGAGCTGCACAGATACAGGCATTTGACAACGTTTTCAAATCTCCTGCAGTGAGAGAATTTGACTAAATCTTCAGAGACAATCCAGCACTGTCTGGTTAAATAGCTTAGATGAAAGAGACCAATCGTCCCCCCTTCGGACTTTACCTGGCGCTTTGCCTTTGCTTATGAGTCAGCCTTTCGTAACAGAAGACAAATAAAACAGAACAGAAATCCATTGAGAGGGGGAACAATGCAAGGTAATTGTTTCCTCCCAGTCTTTAAAAGGCCTGGGACCCATAGGAACACAGCTTTGACCCTAATTTCTCCTCTACAGTTAATTATGGGCGGTGTGGACTGGAAGTTGTTTGGCTACTTTCCTAGAAAGGCAGTATTAGTCACAGGAAATAGTTTACAGGGCACTAAATGGTCCAGGGTCTCACAGATGTTGTTGACTCTATTGTTTGTGGCTGGTGTTAAGCTACATTCAGCCTCCCATAACTTTTGGAGCCAGCATAATAAATCCACAATACAAACACAGTGCAGTAAGTAGGATTCAAATCACAACTGCTGTGACAGATGATAAATGGACTAACATTACATACTCCTAACATCGGGGACTAACAGCTCGGAAAGAAAAAAAGGATGATATGCAAAAGGTGTGTTTGATTTACGACTCTGACAATGGCTGGTGGGCAATTACTGATTGATGATTTTAGTAAGTTTAGAGTCATCAGCTGCGAGGCAACAATCTATTATGGAAACAACACAGACAATAATCTTATCAGCCGCCTCACAGCTAAAACTGTGATGGTATGAAATCCAAAACCAGAGCTTCAGTTTGGGAAAATGAATGGAAATATATTTATTCAAATAATGGGTGATTACAAAAACAAACAGACAATAAGTTGGCATTGTACTTCTGAGACAAATTAATCAGAGGCATCCTTTTTTAAAGCGCATATTAATCATTTTTGCTTTAAATTCCCCTCTTCAATGACGGCGGGTGTTCAGAATGGGACACCCTGGGAAATCTGTGCTCGTCACAAACAAGCAGCATAACGACGGGGAAAAGTCATTACCCTCACTCCGTCGGATTTCTGACTTCATCACACACCGAAACGGCACCTCATGCATAACATCATATCAAAGGTTTGATCAGTCTGTCAAGTCGAAAACTTTCAGTCAGTCATTCAATAATAAGGAGGAAGTGAATCGAGAAGCGACGACTAATTTGCAGCAGGTACTGCCTTGCACTCCCAGTGCTAATTGTGTGGTCTCATCATCCACATCAAAAGCCACATTTTCTCATTATGCAGGCAAGGGTGAAACCTCTAATGGTTAAAGTCAAGGGGAAATATAATATGAAATATGAAACATATTAGTAAAATATGCCACTTAGCTTTTATCCAAAGCAACTTGCATACATTTTTAGTAGGTGTACAGTATGTGGGACATGAACCCACGACCTTGACGTCATTAGCACCACCCGCCATGCTCTTACTAACTGAGCCACACAGGCCCAGGCAGTATCTGTGTTTACAGTTTGGCGTAGCTTACGCTCAGGGAGCAGAGGAGGTATTTACAGCTTCTGTTTACCCTCGGTCTCCTGTGAACCATCACTGCCAACTCATGCATGGGCAGCCTTGTTGTTTCAACGCTAGCTTTGGCTGGCAAAGAGGGCAGAGGTACAGGGTCACACCATGGCCCACCACCAACCATCCAACCGCCAACCTCCAACCGGCCCAAAACCGGCACAGAACATGTGAGTGCCAGCTTGATCGACTGAGTCCTGCTGCCCAATCATATATGAAGGCTTTTCCTTCCCCTATCTAGGTCAAGGACAGTGATGCGGCTCCTCCAGCGATGTCGGATGATAGTTATTCAGTCGGAGAGATATCCAGGGCCGCTGCCTCAGCGCCGTGCGAATGCTCCACCGTGGCAACCGCGGCTAAAGGTCGGCCCCATATATCTCCCCACCTCTGTCACTGCTACTCTAATGAAAAAAGTCAGGCCGCATCGAAATAACCCGCGTCAATACGAAACCAGGGGCTCCAGTGGCGGTCAGGCAAGGGGCCACGGTGGAGGCCAGATCAGGTGGAGGGTAAGAATCGGCGCTCTACAAAAGATCAAGGTCTATGTCGGCATCCCACTCAACAGCAACTTCAGACTCCCCACTTATAACTAAACCGCCTCCCCCTCCGTCGGTCACAAAGGCCTTTGTTATCTGCCGGGCCCACAAACACTGACAGGCTGTGGCCATGGAATGGGCCGGTTGGAGATTTAGCTAGGTGCAGTATTACCTTGGATGATAGCAGTGGAACATTTATAAAGGGGAGCGGGTTTCATCTCAGTACATAGCATTGCAGCTGCGGCCATAGAGGATGAGCAGGGAGGAGGGGAGGAATAGAGGAGGAGAGGTAGATAGGAGGAGAGTGCATGCACGCAGGCAGGTATTTCTGGGTCCAGCCTGATAAATGTTAATATTATGGCTGCGGTGTGTGTATGTGTGTATGCATGCTGGCCCACCTACCTGTGTGCATGTGTACAGTATGTACGTTTACCTTTGCGTGTATGTGTGTGTCAAGGGTAATTAATCATGGAGTACTAAGCCGCTCACATGCACAAAAATGTGGCATTTTGGCCGCTTGACACTTTTCTTTCTTGACTTGATAATTAAAGCATAATTAATAAATGTAGCCTATCTATTCAGTAATGAGTGTCCTTGGGAGTGTTGCTTTGTACGGTGCTAGCTGCCTGCCTTCGCCCGGAAAAAGACAAGAAAGGCTGCCTTTGAAGGCTATATATTCCTCTCCATTAATGGAGAGACATTAAGAGAGTCTTAAGCAAGGCAAGTTCATTTAAACAGATATATTGAGCAATTTCTATGCCCTGTGGTACACAAAGACAAGTCCGTTTTATGCCATGAAAGTCAGCATCAATTAGCGAGCGATTTCTATGCACAAAGAAACTAAGGAGAACTTAGGTCTTGGTGTGCATCCACTAGTTCAAAAGAAGTGAACTACTGGATACACAAAGTATATCAAACATTAGGAACACCTTCCTAATATTGAGTTGCACCCCCCATTTGCCCTCAGAACAGCCTCAATTCATCGGGGCATCTACAAGGTGTTGAAAGCATTCCACAGGGATGCTGGCCCATGTTGACTCCAATGCTTCCCACTGTTGTGTCAAGTTGGCTGGATGGCCTTTGGGTGGTGGATCATTCTTGATACACATGGAAAACTGTTGAGCATGAAAAACCCAGCAGCGTTGCAGTTCTTGACACAAACCGGTGCACCTGACACCTACTACCATACCCTGTTCAAAGGCACTTAAATATTTTGTCTTGCCCATTCACCCTCTGAATGGCACACATACACAATCCATGTCTCAATTGTCTCAAGGCACAAAAATCCTTCTTTAACCCGTCTCCTCCCCTTCATCTACACTGATTGAAGTGGATTTAACAAGTGACATCAATAAGGGATCATAGCTTTCACCTGGATTCACCTGGTCAGTCTATGTCATGGAAAGAGCAGGTGTTCTTAATGTTTGTATACTCAGTGTATAGGCCCTATATATACACATTGAACAAAAATATAAACGCAACATGTAAAGTGTTGGTCCCATGTTTCATGAGGTGAAATAAAAGATCCCCAAAATTTTCCAGACGCATAAAAAGCTTATTTCTCACAAATGTGTTTACAGTTTAGTGAGCATTTCTCCTTTGCCAACATAATCCATCCACCTGACAGTTGTGGCATATCAAGAAGCTGATTAAACAGCATGATCATTACACAGGTACAATAAAAGGCCACTCTAAAATGTGCAGTTTTGTCACACAACACAATGCCACAGATGTCTGAAGTTTTGAGGGAGCGTACAATTGGCATGCTGACTGCAGAAATGTCCACCAGAGCTGTTGTCATTTCTCTATCCTAAGCCGCCTTCAATGTTGTTTTATTTCTGTCTGTAATAAAGCCCTTTTGTGGGGAAAAACTCATTCTGATTGGCTGGGCCTGGCTCCCCAGTGGGTCGTCCTGGCTCCCAAGTGGGTGGGCCTATGCCCTCCCAGGCCCACCCATGGCTGTGTCAATGCCCAGTCATGTGAAATCAATAGATTAGGGCCTAATGATTTCCTTATATAAACTGTAACTCAGCCAAATCTTTGAAATTGTTGCAAGTTGCGTTTATATTTTTGTTCAGTATATTTTTGACCTAGTGCACGATATACAGTAGGGAATAAGGTGCAATTTCAGATGCAGCCCCAGTACAGTACGTACATAATCGTTGACAGGAACCTGGTCCAGGATGTCACGGGCGACGCGGTGACCTCCGACCTCAGCATCAGGAATGTCCTCCTCATCCTCCACCTCGTGGAACTCAGCATCTGCACCAAAAGGAGAAAGTACACAGAATAGCTGTTGATGTACTTTACCGGATCACAGCAGAAACTTATTTTTCTTCTCCTGTTTGAAAAAGCCTGCATTCTACTGTAAATGAATCTGGCTGGTTTACTGAGAGGCTTACCATTCTTTAAACTGCTGCAGTGTATACAAGCACAGAGAATTTGGCATGGGATGTCATAATGACGTCATTCTGGTTGAATAGACCATATAACCAGATTACAACCAGGTAAAATGTCTTTTTTATAATAACGTCAAGACGCTTGGGAACAATATCATATTTTGGTTGTTATATGGTCAGATAACCAGATTACAACCAGGTAGACATCTTTTTCTGGTCGCTAAAAAGAAGCCTAATCAGTAGACAACTTTACAAATGACCCTCGAAATCTCTCATCCCACCATTTTCAAAGTGATGCGAGAACGAGAGAGGAGAGGGGTGGAGAGACCCCGGTGCCCTGTACCTCCCATGGGGGAGGGATGGATCCAGTGGATGGGTAGCTCCTGGCATATCTCCCAGATCTTGGAGTTGAAGAGGAAAGCTGGGTTAGTGATGGGCTCCTCAGCAGGCACCCACACCTGGGAGTCCTCCACCACCTGCATGTCCATGCCCTCTGTCTTGCCCACCTGTCAGGGAGAGGAAACACACAAAAAACACACACACACACTCAGCCCTCAGTTCTATGCCCTCTGCATTCTCAGCCCTCTCTCCCCAGAGCCACAGCGCACAAGCCCTGGCCACGTCCCTTTGTTCATCACCCCTTATTGCCCACTGGGAGTCCCGCCACTTCCTGCCTCCTGCTGACTCCCGCTAGCCTTGAATTCCTCCTCGTTTTGTGTTTCTTCCTCTCAGGCCTCAAAAGCTGCCCTTTCTCCCCAACAACAATACAAGAATCTGACGACGGCATAGATTTGACTTTGAAACGACTTTGCTTTATACTTTATTGTGTCGCGAAAGGCTGCAATATCGTTAAATCCGACAGACACAGTAATAAAGCATAGCGTCCTCTTCCCTCACCCATCCCCTATTACCGCATTCAGCTCACAGCACTAGCGACATGCTTAATTTGTTTATTCTGTAGTTCATGAGCTGTAAAGTAAACTATTAGTGGTTAATGATAGGGAATACGTGTCACTGCTATCTAAGAGATGTATAAAAAGGGGTTTGGCAATGCCGCATTCCACTACCGTGCCGGATGTGTTTCTTTATGTATATGTAAATAGGTCGGCAAACAAACCCCTCTTCCCAGTGCCTCGTTAATTAGCAGCTGGAGAGAACAGCAAACAGTTTACTTGACAAATGTTTTTACAAGGTGATTCTCTCCTCGTCTGAAGCTTAATTGCACATTAGTTGATCTTGATGTCGTATCCCCGGGCTATGGTTGGAGCCGGTATAATTTATATTAGGTTGTGCACTCTCGACTCTCCCTCCCTTCCTTTCTCACCCCTTACTGATTCTGTCTTTATTCTAAATTACGGTCCGCTCTGCCGTCTCGCTGTAACTGTTTGTTGTGAAGTGACATGACATCAATGAGCCTGCGGAGATGAACTCGCACCTCATTCCAGCCAGATGAAAGAATACGTTGCGTAGCGACGTGGCCACTCAGCCACTCAAGCGCTAGCCGAGCCAGGTTTGTGCTTAGACAAGCAGCTTGACAGTTTGCTCTCACTCTTTTTTTCAGCTCATTTTTAGCCTGGTCCGGATCGGGCTAAGCTAATGACCACTCAGAGGAGGACTAGGGGGGCTCTGGCGGCGTTCGCTCCTCCTGAACTACAGAAATTAAAATGAAGGTCAGGAAACACAAACAGACCTCCCTAATTGGACTGCAAAACCGCTGAAGCCGAGCAACTAAGGAAACCACCCCGAAATGAGGAAATGGAGGTCACGACACAGAGCACTGTAATCTGACTTTTACTTTGCAGTTGAGAAACAAGACCAATAAGTTGCAAAAGGAGACCGCTCTCTGGGCAATGTTTAAGTTTATCATGGCTTGTGTGGAATAGTGATTTTAAAAGACCAATCGACAAGTACAAAGACGATGCGATAATGATTTTATGACGCAGTTGATGCAGTTATATCATAATTTAAGCTGTCTTGTATCGAATATTGGACACTGCTTAAGTAAAGACATTTTGTATTAGATGTCAGACTAATTATTTATTTCCTGTTGCTCTGAGCCTATGTAACTACATTCCACACACATTCAGTGTCATACTGTAATGAACATACACTTGCCCTCTCTCACACCAATGTCCTAAGGGTGCAACTTTGTGACACATGCTGATACAGTAAGTCACTTGTGTTTGTCATGGAGCAATGAAGATTTTCTCATGACATCATAAGACCCTCGATATACATGACCTGTATATGACATTACGTCCCATCTGGCAGTCTCCCATACTGTAAAGCCATTCCACACTTTGGTAACACTTTACTTGACACTCAGTGTCATAACACGTTATGACACGGTCATAACCTGTCATAATATGGTCATAACACTGTCATGACCCATGTATTTACACCTGTTGTGACATATATTGCATTATCTTATGGCTGGTTATGACACCTACATAAGAGTGTAAAAACAAAATTATTTTTTTCCCTGCCAAAAAGTTTCCTTTCGTTTGAAAGTTTGTCTATTTATGCATTCTGTGTAACTTTACTTGGGACTAAGAAAATACACTTTATGACTGTCAAGAAGCATTATGACCATCATAATCATAAAAGCCAGATAGGCATATCACGTACCTGCCTTTATATCAGTCATCAGTCAAAAAGAGGGTGTCTTGTCCTGCTCCTGAAATCTGCTCCTGCATTCATCCCAGTCATCAGCAACAGAGCATTGGGGTAGGTGCATATCTGACATCAATGTGTGCGCAATTAGAATGATAATTAAACATGGTCAATAAAAAAAAAAAGATATATATAACAAACATAATGTTGCGACATAAGCTATGGTGTAATGGAATGTTTTGCCTTGTGTGGTAGGTTTTGTGGGTTTTGACACTTATGTAGGTGTCATAGACAGCCATAAAATAACTACTGTGGTAGGTTTTGTGGGTTTTGACACTCTTATGTAGGTGTCATAGCCAGCCATAAAATAACACAATATATGTCGCAACAGGTCTAAATATATGTGTCATGGCAGTGTTATGACCATATTATAACAGTTATGATATTAGTTATGTCAGCTGTTATGACACATTATGACATGGTTATGACCGTGTCATAAAGTGTTCTGACGCTGTGTGTCAGGTAAAGTGTTTTTCCATGCATTGTTTGTCATTTGTTTTTTTAGTTTTTTTTTATCTGAGTGGGAGGTTTCCTTGCCAGCTAGGCTGGTTGTGGCAATACATATTAAGTGGTTACCCAGAGTAGCAAGAAGAGATTCAAAAACACTCTGTTCTACTGTCTGAAGTAGGAGGACAACGGCAATTTCATCAGCTTCAAGACTGGAGGGAAACTAGGGGAGGCTCAGGGATTACAGCCTCCCATCATTTCATACGAGGAACAAAGTGAAAATGGCTGAAGATACCGGCGGCAAACAATTCATGTTTGTCACCTGGTTCTACTCCCCGGTTGCTTTATTTCCTTATCAGCCACTCACAGTTTCTCCACCGGCTGCATTGTTTTCACCTCACCTCTGAGAATCTGAAGCCCCAGACGCCCCGCACTGAGCCCACGTTCACATAGCCCGCAGCTTGGCTCGGCTGGGGCTGAGCCGAGCAGCAGCAAAAGCTGTTTTGATTTTAATTAACCCCTCTGTGGTTCACATGGTCGTAACACAGTCAGGACCTTAAAGGAGACTTGGCTGCGAGATGGAGGCCTCCCATGCCACGAGTGTGTGGATTCTGATGGACCGTGGATCACTTTCTACTATCTATTGTAGGGGAAGTATACAAGAGGTCAAAGGTCAGAGAGGTTAGTTGTTCAGTACCGGTGTGTTATACAATACCGGTAACACCTTACAATAAGGTTATATGAATTAGTATGACATAATGTAGTAGTTAACATGAGTAAATGATAAATAAATACATTGACAAGATATATAATTACTTAATTAATTACAATGTGTTAATAGTTAACAAATACATGAATACATAATTTGATTAAGAAATGCACTGCACAGTGTACTTAAGGGTGTCATTTACACAGTACTGTAGTGTGTCATAACTTGACATTTCCACAGTAGAAAGGCTATGTAACAATATAATAATATTATGGGACTTGGTCTTCACTAATCCAGTGTGATTGTGAGCTAAGCCTGAGTGTGCGCATATGTGTGTGTCTGCACGCTCGTGTGTGTGTGTATGTGATTAAGTGTGTGTGCATCCTTGCTCTAATCACACACCAAGTGTCTTCTCCTATCCTCTGGAGAACCTCTCCCTCCTCTCTTCTCCTCACCACAGCCAACGCCAAGGCTCCTATCTGATTGATTCCACAGAAGTCTAATTAGGTTTCACAATGCGCAAAAGAAGACAACAATGGAAGGGAATATGGTACAGGCTGAACAATTAGTATTAGTCAGAAAGGGATATCTGGGATTTACTTGGCATGACAATGGAACAAACATTTTTATATTTTTATGTAGCTGGGAATATCATTTCGATATTTCCCAGCTCCGTTGGAGCCATGTGTAAAATGTAAATGAGAGTGGAGGATGGTAGAGGCTGAAAATATTGCGTGAGGGATTCATCCGCCAAACTTCACATACGGCTATTAGGCCAGGAGAAGTGAAATTAATCGCTCGAAGTTCGGAGAAGGAGAGACATATACGCACCCTTTAATGGCTTATACCTCTTCCTCAGATCCCTCTCTTACATTCTCTTTCACACTTACCCCTTTAGGCTATTTTGGTCAAGTCTTTGGAGGAGTACGATTACACATTTATATTAGTTCAAGATTGACAGCAAACACCATTTGATGTGAGCCACAAAGGGGGTTGGTGGGCAGCTTTCAGATGGTTTCTTGTGCGCTGGATGCGGAGATTACACTTCAGCGGGAGAGGGCAGAGAAGAGCGGATGGTCAGGGTGAGTGTTTGAGCACAGCTCTCCGACTCCTCTTCTCTGTTTATTCCTACTACCCCTGCAAAATGCATATTTTCCTCCACACACACACACACACACACACACACACACACACACACACACACACACACACACACACACACACACACACACACACACACACACACACACACACACACACACACACACACACACACACACTCACACAGAGTGAGTCAGAGAGTTGCAGATATTCATACTGTACCAGTATCTCTGTGTTCAAGGTTGCCACCTCTGTCACTTTAGGAAGCTCCCTGGTCTGGGTCTTGATGTAACACCTCTGATGTTTGGCAAACCGGATACCTGTGATTCCCTTTGAGGGGAAAAAGAGAGATGGAATAATCCAAAATTCAGATATGTATCATTCATTATTTTGTCTGTGATGTGGAACGGCATAGCGACAGGGCGATATAATTTTTCAAACTGTTTCTTCAGTCTCTTAAAGAAAAATCGAAGTTCTTAATAACTAAGAGAAGTTAGAACCTAATGAGGATGCAGAGGTTCCTTATGATCTTCTCTAGCTTCGTTTTTCTCCTTCTACCTTTTTTCTACCTCCTTCTAGATTACAGCACATTCAAAGACAGCTCAGCTCCTACAACACAAACCTCGCTTTTAGAACAGACAGAGTAAAAAACAAGGGGTTCTTCCTGTCTAAACAATACTTCATAGGGAGGATATCTCAAGCAGGAGAGCCAAGCGACATTTCCTAGGGCGAAGCAGCGGTTTCAACCCAAATGGCACCCTTTTCCCTGTATAGTGCCTTCAGAAAGCATTAACACCCCTTGATTTTTTTTCCACATTTTGTTGTGCTACAGCCTGAATTTAAAATTGATTAAATGTAGATTTTATGTCACTGGCCTACACACAATACCCCATAATGTCAAAGTGGAATTATGTTTGTATTTCTTTTTTAACATACATTTTAAATGAAAAGCTGAAATGTCTTGAGTCAATAAATATTCAACCCCTTTGTTATGGCAAGAAAAAATACATATTTGCTTAACAAGTCACATAAGTTAAATGGACTCTCTGTGTGCAATAATAGTGTTTAACATGATTTTTGAATGACTACCTCATATTTGTACCCCACACATACAATTATCTGTGAGGTCCCTCAGTCGAGCAGTGAATTTCAAACACAGATTCAACAAAAAAGACCAGGGAGATTTTCTAATGCCTCGCAAAGAAGGGCACCTATTGGTAGATGGGTATAAAAAAAGAGCAGACAATGAAAATCCCTTTGAGCATGGTGAAGTTAGTAATTACACTTTGGATGGTGTATCAACACACCTAGTCACTACAAAGATACAGGCATCCTTCCTAACTCAGTTCCTGGAGAGGTAGGAAACCGCTCAAGGATTTCACCATGAGGCCAATGGTGACTTTAAAACAGTTACAGAGTTTAATGGCTGTAATAGGAGAAAACTGAGGATGGATAAAAATTTGACAAAGCAATTAACTTTTTGTCCTGATTACAAAATGTTATGTTTGAGGCAAATCCAACACAAATTATCACTGAGTATCACTCTTCATATTTTTAAGCATGGTGGTGGCTGCATCATGTTATGGGTATGCTTGTCATCGGCAAGGACTAGGGAGTTTTTTGGGGGGATAAATAGAAACTGAATAAAGCTAAGCACATGCAAAGTCCTAGAGGAAAACCTGGTTCAGTCTGCTTTCCAACAGACACTGGGAGACAAATTCACCTTTCATCAGGACAGTAACCTAAAACACGAGGCCAAATATACACTGGAGTTGCTTACCAAGACGACACTGAATGTTGCTGAGTGGCCTAGTTACAGTTTTGACTTAAATTGGCTTGAAAATCTGTGGCAAGACTTGAAAATGGCTTTCTAGCAATGATCAATAACCAACTTGACAGAGCTTGAAGAATTTTTAAAAGAATAATGTGCAAATATTGTACAATCCAGGTGTGCAAAGCTCTTAGAGACGTACCCAGAAAGACTCACAGCTGTAATCGCTGCCAAAGGTGATTCTAACATGTATTGACTCCGGAGGTTGAATACGTACAGTTGAAGTCGGAGGTTTACATACAACTTAGCCAAATACATTTAAACTCTGTTTTTCACAATTCCTGACATTTAATCCTAGTAAAAATAATAGTAGAGAGAATGATTTATTAATTAATTGTGATACAGTGAATTATAAGTGAAATAATCTGTCTGTAAACAATTGTTGGAAAGATTACTTGTGTCATGCACAAAGTAGATGTCCTAACCGACTTGCCAAAACTATAGTTTGTTAACAAGAAATTTGTGGAGTGGTAGAAAAACTAGTTTTAATGACTCCAACCTAACTGTATGTAAACCTCCGACTTTACATTTTTACATTTACATTTTAGTCATTTAGCAGACGCTCTTATCCAGAGAGACTTAAAGTTAGTGAGTACATACATTTTCATCTAGTCAAGATGTATTAGTGTTTTATTTTTCATATGTTTTAGTTTTTACAAATGTTAGTCTTTTTCTTCCACTTTGACATTACAGAGTATTTTGTGTAGATTGTTGACAAAAAATGACAATTAAATCCATTTTAATCCCACTTTGTAATACAACAAAATGTGGAAAAAGTCAAGGTGTGTGAATACTTTCTGAAGGCACTGTATATGGAATGCATCCAGTGTCTCTACGGAGGCTGCCCCTGCTGAATTAGTCAGTCATAGGTCCCTGTCACTCTCTTAATCTGTGCAGCCTAGTGAAAAGCCACTCTTTTCAGTGCCATTGATGATCCTCCACCTTGTGGAATTCAGGGCCTTTTCAATTTGACGACAACAGGAGAAAGCCTATTTCAACAAAGCAGACATATCTGTTAATTATCTTTCTGTGTGCCATTATCTGTTTGACTAAGTAGTTCTCCTGGAATAAGTCTGAAAGCCCACGAAAGCATATGAGATTGTAACACGTGCCGTCTCTAGGGCTACCACAGAATACCATAGAGTCATGAGCGTATGAGAATAGAGTGCTGGATCTTCACCGGCCACGCTCGCCTTAACATTGTATCACGATAAGTGGTGGCATGAAAATGGACTTGATTCAATCATAATTTAATTACATCTACATGGCGTAGAGCTCTAATGCCTTTCCGACTTCTTTAAATTAGCGTTAACTTAGAAATACGGACGTTCTATTCCACTTGTCTTTAGAGGTCACACACCACGACACGATACGAAGCAATGCCTGTCATAATCCCCTTGTCTACAATTGCCTATAAAACACTGCAATAGGCCTCCTTGTAGCTCAGTTGGTAGAGCATGGCGTTTGCAATGCCAGGGTTGTGGGTTCGATTCCCATGGGGGGCCAGTATGAAAATGTATGCACTCACTAACTTTAAGTCGCTCTGGATAAGAGCGTCTGCTAAATGACTAAAATGTAAATGTAGTCGGCGACACAGAAGTATAATGTTTATGCCTGACTTTATTGTGATGAGCCCGTTTAAATTTACTGTAATGGCAAGCGCCGCTACAGAGAGAGAAAAAGGACAATCTCGTGATGTGATGCAATGATTAACGGAGTTGGTCAACCAGAAAATACACATCATTATGGGGATAATAAATGGGAAAAGGATGCAAGGTTTAATAAACAATTTCATAATACCGGCTCGCCACTCGCCCCTTATTAAACCCACTACACATACACTGACAGCTTTAAGCTTCCCAACTGAACAATGATTTGTTTGGAGGGCTCATTGCGTCGCCATTGCAGAAAGGTTAGGGGACGCTGTACTAATCATTGTCACTAGGGCTCTATATTCCCATCTCTTCCTGCATCTTGCATCTTGTGAGTGTCAGCCCAAGTAATGTGTTGAGGAAACAAACATGGATGCTCATTCTACCGGCTCCTGTGAACGGGGACCCTAAACCCATGCCATTAAATATTATCTCTGAGTTGCTGCACCTCTGTTAGTGATTTCCTTTCATTCACGGTCGTGTTCAGGGTTGTGCTCATTAAGGCACGAAAGGGGGAAAAATAAAGATAGTTTCTTCCTCTTTCAGTCAATTTTCTTCTGTTTTGAGTCTAATGGACACAACCCAGGATTCATGTCGCTGGCCGTAAACAATAAACAATGTCATCTTTGGATATTGGAATATCTGAGAAACAATATGTAGTTTAAGGAACATATAGATTATTTAATGACTAAATGTAAAGCAGATAATTACAGTATAGCATAGCATTTTGATTGATATGACTTGAGCTACTGTATGTTGCTCATACAGGTAATCTGGCAGACTTGTATTTTAGTTCACATAAAAAGGGATCATTCTTAGATTGAATCAATTTGATGAACACAAGTTTGTATTGATGTCTAGCTCAAGGTTCTGGAAAACTGGAATTGAGGTAGGCCTACTCTCGTCTATACTCTTGCCCCTCAATATTTGAAATGTATTCTTGTATTATTGCTTATTTTAATATTGTTTGAAGGTAATTGATTGTGTAATATGAATGATTTAGAGCTTTACTCTAGTTCCAGATAGAATTTTAAACAAAAGAGAGTAACCTTCAAAATACATAATGATGCTGTCAATATGAACCATGGTTTGCATCAAATTATAAATGAAATGATAGACGAAAATATATATTTTTTAGAAGAGCTACATAGAAATACATTAGATGTGTTGGTGGTAGTTGCACTATGTGACCATAATTATTCTCATATAATAGACTGTTGAATATGCTTGAATGCCAGTCATGTCTCTACTGGTATTTTTATCAGTTCTTGTGACCATAATGATTGTAATTTAATAGACTGGTGAATATGCTTGAATGCCAGTCCTGCCTTTTACTGGTATTCTTATCTCCACTTCTTGTTCCCTAGGTTCTTCCTGCAGCATGTTCCCTGTATTAACCTGAAACAAAAGAAGTGGCATTATCTGCCCATTTCAATTCCTCATCCACAGCCCTTGGGCTTGACGGAGATTGTTTTTAAGGTGGCTTTTGAATTTGTAATGACTTGAAATATCCTTTCTTTTAAAAAATGATTTCAACCCCCCCCCCCCCCTCAGCTAACACTTAGTATAACTTATAATAAGGTTTGTGTTTTCCTCCACTCTCTTCTTTTCTTTTGTAATCACAATGACGCTGGAATTATTCTGCTCGCTCACTTGTTTCGCCATCTCCCGTGGTAGTGCCTGGAATCAAACACATTTTCTTGGTGAATTTGCTTCACTGACAGAAGTGGATAATTCAGACTGGATGGGATGGAGGAGAAACTAGCAACAGGCATGCTTCGGTGTGTGTGTGTGTGTGTGTGTGTGTGTGTGTGTGTGTGTGTGTGTGTGTGTGTGTGTGTGTGTGTGTGTGTGTGTGTGTGTGTGTGTACGCGCACGTGCTTGTGTGTGAGTATGAGTGTGAGACGTAATTGAGACCTCTTGTTATTAGATATTTCGTTTTATATTTGATATCAGGTACACTCTTAGAAAAAAGGGTTCCAAAAAGGTTTTTCAGCTGTTCCCATAGGAGAAACCTTTTTGGTTCCAGATAGAACCCTTTTGGGTTCCATGTAGAACCCTCTATGAAAAGGGTTCTACATGGAACCCAAAAAGGTAATACCTGGAACCAAAACGGGTTTTCCAAAGGATTCTCCTATGGGGACAGCCGAATAACCCTTTTAGGTTCTAGAAAGCACTTTTTTGTGTGTGTGTAAGTGTGTGTTCGTGGTGGGTAATGGATTGTGATGAGAGGGAATTGAAAGCTCTTGTTATTAGATATTTAGTATTATTTACGACACACATTGTCACATCAGCTTTTTCCGTGAGAGAGAGAGAAAAAAACAGGAAAAAAAAGATGATATGATTTCAGGAGAACAGAAATGCTTTTACACAATATAAGAACAATTTAGAAAGGGCTCAAACACAAATTCAATCACAAAACTATAATAATAACAACACAAAAGGGACTGTAAATGAAGTATGCATAAAGTGTACTGTACATAATGTGTATTTTATCAATACTTACATGTTTGAAGTCATGGATCTCGAGCACCTCATTGCTACCGTTGCCCATCCTGAAGAGCTCAATGCTGTGGGCGGGGTCAATCTCCATGATGCTGTCTGTCTCCATGCCGTCCAGCACAGCCTTATAATGTTGGTTGTACACCTGGAGACACAGGACCAATCAAAAACATCCTCAGCCTAACTTACAGGTCATTTAACCAATAATACATGTGGGTGGGGCAACTTAACTCAATAGCTCCAATCTATAGCCTTTCAATAGGCTTAATATCAGTGGCGTGTATTCATGAATGCCAAGGGAAGCCAGGCTTCCCCAAAAACTTTACCAATAAAGAAATCTAAAAACCTAAATAATGCATCTTCTGTCTCTCTGTGTTTCATAATTTTCCTTCAATTCGCAAGAGGCTGAATGTATCTTACCGGAGAAAGCATCCGAGCGAGCGAAACAGCGCCCCTCTGTCTCTGTAGCCCATCTATCTGATGCTGTCTGATCAAAAAGAGTATGATATTGTTGCCGCCCGTAGCATTGAATGCAAGGGAAGCCAGCGAGCATTTGGCCTCCCTTTGATAAAAACATTATAAAATAATAGCCAAACAGCATTGAGCTAATCTGAGCGAGCTCAACTGTGACTGGTCCTGGCGCCAGTTTGGATTTGGCTTCACACCAATCACATCACAACAAAAGCCAAACATCACTGACAGAAAAAACCTGAATTGTTGCATCTCCTTTTGTTGTGTCCTCCAGTGGCTAGCTAGCTAGCTAAAATTGGCCCTTTCCTAAATTAGCCACGGATGGAGATAGGGATTTGGACTTGTGGTTTTACTTAATTCTCGATACTGGGCAACGATTATAACGGCGATTCTCATCCAACCATGAAAGGAAGTTAGGCTAGCGAGCAAGCATTTTAGCCAGGACAACAAAAATTAAAAGTGTGTAGCCTACTGTATGACAGAGTCATAGACCGTTTTGGCGACATTTTACATTTACATTTTACATTTTAGTCATTTAGCAGACGCTCTTATCCAGAGCGACTTACAGGAGCAATTAGGGTTAAGTGCCTTGCTCAAGGGCACATTTACGTCATTTAGCAGACGCTCTAAATGACGTAAATGTATGAAAGAGAGGAGGATGGCATTGGTGTTTCTCTATAAGTAGGGTGAGTCAACATGTTTTTTCTACTTTCAAACACACACACACACACACACACACACATGCACACACACACAGAAATCAGCACCATGGACAGCCACATCATATTTACCTTACGTTGATTAGACTAAACCGTTTTTGAAACCTTTTAATTGTTACTGTATTAGAATAAGCATACACTATATATACAAAACTATGTGGACACCCCTGCAAATTAGTGGATTCGGCTATTTCAGCCACACCCATGCAATCTCCATAGATAAACATTGGCAGTAGAATGGCCTTACTGAAGAGCTCAGTGACTTTCAATGTGGCACCATCATAGGATGCCACCTTTCCAACAAGTCAGTTTGTCAAATTTCTGCCCTGCTAGGGCTGCCCTGGTGTGCTGTTATTGTGAAGTGGAAACGTCTAGGAGCAACAACGGCCGCGAAGTGGTAGGCCACACAAGCTCACAGAACGGGACCGGTGAGTGCTAAAGCGCGTATTGCGTAAAAATCATATGTCCTTGGTTGCAACACTCACTACCAAGTTCCAAACTGCCTCTGGAAACAACGTCAGCAGAAGAACTGTTCGTTGGGAGCTTCATGAAATGGGTTTCCATGGCCGAGCAGCCGCACACAAGCCTAAGATCACCGTGCGCAATGCTAAGAGTCGGCAGGAGTGGTGTAAAGATCGCCACCATTGGACTGGAGCTTTGGAAACGCGTTCTCTGGAGTGATGAATCACGCTTCACCATCTGACAGTCCGATGGACAAATCTGGGTTTGTCGGATGCCAGGAGAACACTACCTGCCCCAATGCATAGTGCCAACTGTAAAGTTTGGTGGAGGAGGAACAATGGTCTGGGGCAATGGTAACAATGGTAATGCCCATGACTTTGGAATGAGATGTTTGACGAGCAGGTGTCCACATACTTTTGGTCATGTATTGTAGTTGAAATGGTGCATAGGTGATTTGGTGATGTTGAAATGTTGAAGTTGAAATGGTGCTGGAATAGTGGAGGCAGCTCCTGTTTTCTTTGCGACTTGCGGTAACTCTCTGTGGTTCTAAATCAACAGTTGTTTAGTAGTCCGAAAATGTCGGAAACATTAACTTGATTGACCATGCTGTAGGTCATGTAACAGTTTGGTACATGCAATATGCTTTGTGGACAGATGTTGCTCTCCGGTTTTGTGATGAAACAAAGGTGTGGTTGAATTTATTCTGCCACTGTGTCCTCTTATTGTCTCGGCCTTAGGCCTATATATCACGGTGGCAAGGCATATGAACTAACATGTTATAGAGCAAACAATGCAATTATTGCCCCAGTGATTTTACCCACACACCGCTACTGCTTAATATACCTCTAGCCTTTCAATAGCGTTTAACTAGGGTTAATACACCGTCAACCCCCTTTAAAATCGGTTTAACATGCATTGGCAAGGGTGTTATAAGCCAAAGAGAAATACTGTACTGTAGTACAAAGATTTGAGGACAATACGCACATTGATTAATGGCATATTCTTCAAAGCATCATGTCCAAAGTAACACACAACATATGACCAATGGAAGCAATACACCACTGCAGTGAACGGCATCCTGCATGCTGACATTTGTAATGTGCCAAAATATTCATAAACACGATCAGAAATAACACTGAGTCATTGTTGATACATTGCTATTGACAAACTGCAAGTTCAAATTAAGATTTGTACATCCATAGAGGCTGCGTAAGTACCCTGTGAGTAGCTACATCGAATAAATGCCACTTTGAATATGTGGCTCGGATAGTCGTTTCTTTTTCTTGGCCGTACCGTAATGCACTGGTTGTTTATCACGACGCCTTGCTTATGTACTGTTCTTGGGCACGCATGGGTGGCTGTTAAAATTCCCTGTCTACAAAAATGATTCATGCCCACAAGCTGAAAACGATGCTATTAATATTTATGTCGAGTGTGGTGTTATAATGAGAAATATATTGCTGAGTTCATCTTCAACTGTTGTGGTGGTGAATCAAAGCGCCCCGTACTGTACCAATGAGAGAGTTGATTAATGGATACAGGCAGACGGCCAATGAAATTATATTCCCAATCAACATGTGTGGGTCCGCTGATTGCTAAGGGATTGAACACAAAAATAACCCAAGCCCTGTGAAAAATGTTGTTTCTTTCTAGTGTTTATGACTACAATGTCCCTGCCTGATGCTCATATGTTGGTCTATGGTCTAGTGACTCCAGTAACACTAGTTAAAGCTCTATAACATGGTCACTGTAGCGGGTGATTTGGACGGAGTCAGGCGCAGGAGGTGTAAATCACAGAATAATGGTTTATTTGGCCAATACAGCAATGCGTAAAACAACTACAGTGTGACTTAACGGCGCACTGGGAAAAACAAAACACACGGGTGAATATCCCGGCGATAAAGTACATAATGCTCCACCGAGCTATCGACACCTCCACATGGAAACAATCACACACAAAGACATGGGGGGCAGAGGGAATACTTATACAGGGACTGATAAGGGGATATGAACCAGGTGTGTGTAAAAAACAAGACAAAACAAATGGAATAATGAGAAGAGGAGCGGCAGTGGCTAGAAGGCCGGTGACGACGAACGCAGAAGCCTGCCCGAACAAGGAGAGGAGGCAGCTTCAGAGGAAGTCGTGACAGTCACTAGCACACAATGACATTTAAATGACCTGCCTCACTTATTACCAGGCTCTTCAATAGGGGAGCAATAATGATTGAATGGAATATAATTCTTAACAGAAGATCATGGCAAGTATGGCTCTGGAATCTAAATAACCATTAACATGGATCACAATGGCCTTGGCTCGGAAAGGAACCCAAACTTTAAAATCGTAAGACACAGCCAAATGAAGATTGGACCTGATATTCAAGTATCAGCTGAGCAGTTATGTGACATTTATTTAGAGCCATTAAACAGTCTGGGATCATTTGCAGTGGATTACAGTTCTATTAAAGCCTTTTGTTTTATATTAACATAAAGGTGGAATGGGAAAGTGGATTCCTAAGAATTGATTTATACTAAAACAATTCATCACATTTTCACTTTTGATGAAACTCCAGCGGTGAGATCTCACCATGTTGAAATGGATTGTAATGTATCATAACTGGACTGTTTAACTTTACTTGTTCAATGTTTTAAAAAGGTACATAATGTTGCTATCGTTTTGTTTAGAAAATGGGAATAGATGGCTTCCGTGGATCCTTGAACCTTTAAAAGTTCATATTCTGTAACGTTACTAACGTTACTGACTTGTCCTATACTCGTATTTGTGGCCAAAGCATACATTTGAGGAAAAACACTTCTAAAACCCCACCTCAAATTTGTTCTCAAACAGACAATTTAAAAAATGCTTGCTATAGAATCCTCATAGAATTTGATGTCATCCTTGTAAGGAGGATGAGCTGGGCAATGAGCAGTCTATTCACATTAATATTTTTAATGACTGATATACGCCCACACCATTCTGTTGTTGGGGTACACCCACACCATTCCAACACAGAAAAGCTGCTTTTTAACATACTTAATTGCCATTTTTTGGGGAAGGAAAACGAATTCACTCATATTGTAATGAATTATATGTCATATTTCATAAACATATGGAAACACTGGAGAGTTAATTTAAAAAGGATACTTCAGCGTTAGCGCAACGACTGGACTCCAGAACTACCTCTAACTTCCTTTATACACGACACAGAGAGTCTGGGGCAGTAGATAAAGTAGACTTCCAGTCATTGTGCTAACGTTAGTTAGCATTGGCTCGCAAACTATCTCTAACATCCTTCATACTCGATACAGAGACATAAAAATGGTATCCATGAGTTCATCTTACTCTGGGAAAGTAGAGAAAGGGCCACATTAAGCTTGTGAATATAAGAGTAAAGAGCTCACAAATATGGCTTTCTAGGAACTAGTATTTGGGTCTATGGACCATATTCATACGTTTATTTACCATACATGTCAAACATGGTTAATTGTATTGGATTCTTTTGGGTGGATTGACTTTGGATAGCACTAGCGGTCATCTCATCTTTTCAAAAATCTAATCTTTCACTTCTTCACAAGAAACCGAGAGTAGCCTTCACTTTTAACTTCGCTTCATTATCTGCTCAGCCTTTCCAACCAATTACTAAACAACAAATTCTTCCAAAGGTACATGCTCGGCCACCGAAGCCTGACTGGCTCACAAAAGACCCAGGCGTTGCAAAGAAGTAATGATAGTGAAAGTTAATTAGCGTTCTCTGCGAATTCACATAGGCGGGGGAGGCCAATGCTCAGGGAGGACTTTAGTTCAAGGTGTAGCTAATGCAGGTGCAAAGACTGTTTTGCTCTCATATTATTAAGGTTCTGTGCAGTTCATCCTGAGAACTCCTGAAGCAATTTCATAATGATTTGTACTTGATCGGGCTGGCTATTCAGATATGTCATACAATTAATTAGAAGGTTCAGATTCAATGCTGTTTTAACAATTGAAACTGTTCTGAATAACATACTTAATATCCATGATGTGTAAGAACTATAACTTATCAAAACAATGATAAAAAGTATCTGAATTAGTCTTCTCAGTAGCAAGGCAGCAACAATAATGGGTAGCTCTTAGTTATAACTCCAAGGATAAAGCATTTCTCTGATTCAGAGGGGTTGGGTTAAATGTGGAAGACGCATTTCAGTTGAATGCATATAATTGACTATTTACAAAAAATTTGTTAAAGTGTGAGCTATTTATACTTTATAAATATATACTTTATAAATGTTTTGAGTGACCAGTGTAATTTCTCACAAAAAGATGGACAGGCCATAGACATTTCAGCAGTACCGGATGCTCCTGGAGGTCTCAAAATGGCAGTCACACTGTTGTAATAGTGTGATGTGTAACTTCAGACCCACTCTATGTTAAGTAACGTAAAGCTTGTCGTCTGAAAATGCTAACATTAGAGTTTCTTGGCAGTGACTGTTCTACCAAAACCAAAGTGTGGATTGCAGTAACTCCTTAGAGCAGTCCATAGACTGTTTTCGAGGTAAGGAAACAAATATCTGAATGTATAATTTCAATGAACTATTCCATTACGTTTAAAGAGTTATTACCTTTAAAGGCCCAGTAAAAGTGCTGCCAAACAAAGCCATATGTGAAATAGGCTGTGGTTAAAAGACCATAAGTGCTGGAAACATTTAAGGTTAAACATGTAACATTCTCAACATACTATCACAGATTATCGTGAAAGACACAAATGATTTGAAATGCATTATATGAAATGCACTGTATACAAAATTGTGTGGTGGACAAAAACATTTTTTCACGAATTTCGAATACGTTTTGTGATTTGTGATAGTGGGTTGAACATTCTAACTGCAAATCATACATGTAACATTTCTACCTCAAAACACATATCAGTAATAATCAAGGAATAGAAATCCACTAGAGAAAAAATGTCTTATCCGGCCAGCTTTTGTGTGTAGGCTACATCTCCCTGTTTTATGATTATTACAACTTTTCCTCACGTCCTTGCAACAGACACAGAAGCTTAGTCCAACAGACTTTACTAGTTAAAACACGACAATACAAAAATAACGGGCCTCAACACAACGGAGGCGAGCGATTACGCATACTGTGCGTCAATACACAAAAATACAAGTGATTACGCAAACAGTGCGTCAATACACTAAATGCACGAGAGCAAATACAAATCACCAACGGACAGGCGGACAACAACACACAACTACAAACAAAACCAAAGGAAACTTATAGGTGACATAATCAATACGTGATATGGAACAGGTGCACTAATCAGACAAAACCAAACAAACATAGAGAACATCAAACGGTAGCAGCTTGTACTCCGGAGACGACGAACGCCGAAGCCTGCCCGAACAAGGAGGAGGAGCAGTCTCGGCGGAATTCGTGACAGTACCCCCCCCCCCCTTGACGCGCGGCTCCAGCCATGCGCCGACTCCGGCCTCGGGGACGGCCAGGAGGACGTGGAGCAGGGCGCGTAGGATGACTACGGTGGAACTCAGTCAGGAGGGATGGATCTAAAATGTCCCTCCTAGGCACCCAGCACCGTTCCAACGGACCGTACTCCTCCCACTCCACGAGATATTGTAGACCCCCCATCCGACGTCTCGAATCCACGATGGACCGGACTGAGTACGCCGGAGCCCCCTCGATGTCCAGTGGGGGCGGAGGGGTCTCTCTTATCTCACTCTCCTGGAGTGGACCAGCTACCACCGGCCTGAGGAGAGACACATGGAACGAGGGGTTAATGTGATAGTCATTAGGTAGTTGCAACTTGTAACACACCTTGTTCAATCTCCTCAGGACTTTAAATGGCCCCACAAACCGGGTTTCGAGTCGAGAGCCAGACTCGATCTCCAGGGGCGTAGACTGGACCCTCACTGCGGTGGAGATCGGCGCTCGCCTTCTGGCTGCGGATGGCTCGCTGCAGATGTACGTGTGCAGCGTTCCACGTTTCTTCCGAGCGCCGAAACCACTCATCCACCGCAGGAGCCTCGATCTGGCTCTGATGCCATGGTGACAGAACCGGCTGATAATCTAACACACACTGAAAAGG